TCTCAGAAAATCCATATACTTTAAGTTTTGTGAGCAAAAATTTTTTGGATCGTGTAGCTCCAATTTACAAATATTTTCTCATACCAACTAACATTTTGATCACATCATGCCACTATGAGGTAGGCCGAGTTCTTCGGTTACAATCTGATTTGTAAGTTACGTCTTCCAACCATCCAGAGTATATATCTAAGAGAAGCAAGTTGCGTCAATTCTCTACTTTGAAATCAATTACGTATTTAAATATGTTTGTTTGCAAATCTCAATAAAAAAATGTAGGAACAGATAGACCTACGAGCTTGATTAATGGAAGTATCAACAAAAAGGACCATAACTACGAATACAAGTGCATATCTTTTGTAATTGATTTTAATTAGTTCAACATTTTAATTATTTCTAGTGTAATATTTGAATGATTTGGAAGACAATGGTAAATCTTTCTCTACAAGACACCAACTGGATCGGTTCGATAGGAGTAGCAACTTGGGTAACATATTATCAGTAATATTATTGGTGTGGAAACAAGGTTGATAACAATTTAGGATAAAAAAACGGTGGGTCAAAATGAAAATCCCACACCTAAAAAAGGGGAAAAAGTTCAATATTCAAATTTAACCTCAAATCCTAGCGTCGAACCTCTATCCAAGTTTACAAAACAATAAGAGGGTAGACAAATTTATGATGAGGCAATAGCGAAAGTAAATTATAATATTTTGTAATAGTTTTAAGTACGACTCTGTAATAGATAAATTTGTAACATAAAAGTATCTACGGTAAATGGTTGTACAAGCAATTATGCTAACGCGCAAAAACTTGACTATTATAACACTAAACCATAAATTATTGCATATTTCACTTTTTAAGTTTTATCTTTTTGGTCACGTGTGGACTCAATATTTTTTTTTTTTGACAATAGTGGACACGGATTATAACGAAAAGATTCCAAAAAAATACGATGAATTATAGAGCAAAATTGAAAATATAGTATTCAAATAAAAATATTTATATATATCATCATATGGTTCACTTTCATATTAAATATTTAAAAATGATGTTTGAATTTGTATAAATAGAAATTGTGAGCATAAATCTTAAACATCATTTAAGCATATCAATGTTATATATATATATATATTGGCCTAGTCTATATAATTTCTGATTATTTTTGTTAATCCATTAATCTGTCATACATATTCATATCCCATGTAAACAAAATATTTATTAAAAAAAATAAAAAATTTAGTAACCAAATCAATTCATCACCGAGACGAATCCATTCAATACCAAAAGCCCAAAAAAAGGAAACAACATCCAAATGACTAATAGAAGACAAAGCCCAAACACCCAAAGGTGACGGAGGAATCGAAGATAAGTCCAACTCGGAAGATAAGAATAACTAAGATGCTCAGAAGAAGAAAACCACAAACATGAAAGAGAATGATCCATTCATCTGAATCTGATATTCAACCCAATACTATAAAGGCAAACTGTTGATGTACATCTCTTAGCTCATTTTCAACGACGATTACATAAACCCTAATTTCCTTTTCCATTTCCCTCTACCATTCAAACATCTGAAATATAAGTTATTGGGTACTTTTGTGAGTTCTCTTAGATTCCTGCTTTTATTCACAAGTAAGTTCTTATTTTCTTATCCTGATTTTGTGCTTTTTGTAGTGTCTAAATGAATCTTTATGTTTGAAATTCTTGTTTATATATCGAACTATGTGTCTTTAATTTTCAGGTTGTAACTCAAATGGTGTTGAAAAAGAGAGATGTTGATGGTTCTAGAGATTTAGTTAGTGGTTTACCAGACGCTCTTATTGGCCACATCTTGTCCTTCCTTACCACTAAAGAAGCTGCTTCTACATCGATCCTCTCTACAAGATGGCGGTATGTCTTTGCTTTTGTCCCTAATCTTGATATCGATAACTCTGATTATCTAATTCCGATTATATAACTCTTTGACAATACCACTGTAATAGTTAATCAGAACAAGAACAACGTTTCTACAAGTTTTAAGGATTTTGTGGATAGAGTATTGGCTTTGCAAGGCAATTCTTCTATACACAAGTTTTCTCTAAAGATCGAAGTTGGCGATGATCCAATTGATCCAGTCTGTATCGTTCGTTGGGTATGCAATGTGTTGCAACGTGGCGTATCAGATCTTTGTCTAGACTTGGATTTGGAATCGAAAATTAGGTTTTCTCCAACGATCTTCTTGAGCAAAACACTGGTTAGGCTGAAACTAAACTTTGGAGATATCACCATCATGGATTTTGAAAATGTTGATCTTCCAAAGCTCAAGACTCTTTATATTGAGTCAGTCCATTTTGAAAAGCATGGTATTGGGCTTACCAAGTTTCTTTCTGCTTGAAGATTTAGTTCTGAATGGTAGTTCTTGGTGTGCATGGGAGTTTGCCTCTATCTCTGTCACAACTTTCAAGAGACTAGAAATTTTTTGGGAAGAGCCTGGTGATAATCCAAAGAATGTGCCTTTTGATACTCCAAATCTTCTTTACTTGGACTATACTCTGATAAAATTGCATACAAGTATCAACTAGATCATTTGCAAGCAATTGGACTATAGTTGATATGGTTCTGTTTCAGGCACTCATTTACTGTTGTAAAGCAATACCGCCATTCAACAATTTGACCCATTTAACTATCGAGAGTCACCCGAGAGTAGGATGGCAATCATTACTAGGTCTGCTAAAGAATTCTCCAAATTTGGAAACTCTCGTCTTGCAAAGTATGAAACAAACCCTTTAAAAGCATGTGTTTGACTCATTTTTTTCAAAGTTTGAGATGTTTTTACTATGTTTCAGGGCCTCTCCCACGAAGCCACGGATGGATGTGGAGACGTGTGCTTGTGCAATTGTTATGAGGAAATTCCTACTTGCTTATCATCAAGCCCGGTGAAGGTATTGAAGATAATGGAGTTCGGTGATGTCTATGATGACGAGATACATGATCAGATTGAACAAGTGAAGCACTTTATAGTGACGATGCCGAATCTTGAGCAACTGATATTGTACTGTGATATTTCATTTTCCGACAAAGACGTGATTGAAGTGTCAGAGGAACTTCAGAGACTTTCTAAAAGACCAGCTTCATCAAAGTGCAATCTCAAAATAATCTCTAAGCACCTCTGCGTGTCATTTGTGCCATGAAATGGGCTTCTCTTCCTTACAAAAGAGCTTCTCAAGTCTTTCTTACCATCATCAAAGTCAAGATTCTCTTGTTTCTGTCTCATAGTTGAAAAACATGTGTTTTATTTATTTATTAGGGTTTGTTCTTTTGGCAAAGACAACAATAACTTCATACTCTTTTGCTTTTGTATTAATCATTCTTGGGGAAAGAAATGTAAACATGAAAATTAAATTGCCATTGAAGTTACTTCCGAAGCAAAACAAAACTATTCTTGTAGTATTCTTTTACTCCAAGGAACAAATGATTGGATTTGGATTCTTGATGGAAGGAAGGATTGTAATTTGTACATAGCTCATAGTTTGCAACAAATTATATCCCACTAAGAAATTTATTAGCCAAGAATAATAATTTAGTAAATAGTAGCAAAATGGATTTTCGTTTTTGTAATTTCTCTTGAGTAAATGCACACATTATTGGGCTTTGCCATTACACCTTAGATAATGAATTGGAAAGAAATATCAGTCTTTCGAAACCATAAGTTGAATACATCTCTCATAATGTACCCTGAATTTATAATGCCATTAGTGGATGAGACAAACTCCACAACGAATTCCCTAGAAGTTAACCAAAATATGTATACGTCAACGTCATTAGCATCAGTTTAAAAGGATAATACTAATTAAAATAATGATGATGATTATCTCTAAGAAAACGAATCCTATGACAAAGCAGAGACACTATTTTGCAAACTTAGGGTATAAGTCATAATAAACAAACGAATAATAAGAGGAAACTGCGTCACAGTGATTAAAAAGTTAAAAGGTAATTAAACAAACTATCCAATGATGATTTGCCACGTACACAACAAAAAAAGTAAAGGTGAGAGTCACGGTGATGATGGTGGGCTAAAGTGACAGTCGCCATTATGACAGACCGCGTGGCATCATTTCTCTCACCAAATGCCTCTTTTTGTTTTGTTTTTCTGGTTGAATAAAAATAATCAAAAATATGCAAAGTGGACCCTAATGAACCGGACATATTATACTTGGCATTCGTTTTTAGGTTCCACTCGTTCAGTTATTTTGGATTTTACTCACCCCAATAATTGGATCCATTTGGATATATAACATCAGTTTTGGTTTGGAGAAATTCCGGTTAGGTATTTGATTAAACAGAGTCCAAAAAGGATTATTTTGTTGGGCTACTATTTCTGTTTGGAGAAAATAAAGTCTGATCCCTTCATTTTTGTAAACTTTATCACAGCAGATTGGTTTGCACTTTGCTCTATACTCGTATTAATATTTTTGTTATTTTCACTGACTTCTAGTAATAAACTAATAGTTACGTTGCATAGAATCGGAATCGGATATGCGGAAGCGAAAGCGTATAGAAGCGTGAAAGCCACTTTTAATAAAAATTTAGGAAGCGGGTATATGTTGGAAGCGTATATACATATACGTAG